TGCTCCCTGCAGCAAGGGCAGCAAGACCCGCGCTTCAAGAGCAGCCGTGGAGGCAAGTGAACACGCCGCTTCCCTATCTTCCTTGTCCCCAAGCTGTCCCTCCCCACCTCCCCTGCAAGGGTAGCTGGGGACCCTTCTGGGGACAGGTGACCCCAAGGAAAATGATGGGAGGGCTGCCCTTCCCTGCAAAGACAGGGAAAACAAGGAAGAACAAAGGCTGACCTGTCTTGTTAGATGGGCCAGAGCTGGTCAAAGCTGGATGGGGACAGCGGGGATGGACCCTCCCCAGCACCGCGCTCTCACTCTGGGAGACCACTTGGATGGTGTCCCTCAGTCTCTCCAAACACCCCCAGCATTGTGGGTGATGTGGGGGGAGTGGTGGATACCCAGGAGCCATCCCCAGCCCCTCTCCGTGTCCTGAGGCAGGGACATGGACTGGGGAGAGCTACGCTGAGGCTCACTGCTGCCCCGTTGCAGGCTGGTGGGCTGCCCGCGTCTCCATGCTGCACTCCGCTTCCCCAAACCAGCACGGTGCTGGCGTCCGCTGCCTGTACGACAGCCAGAGCCAGCTCATCGAGGGGCGGCAGGAGAGGTACTGGAGGTCCTCCCGGCAGGCATCCCCTTACCGTGGTAAGCACAGCCAGGCCTGGCATTCCCCGGCTGAGGCTGGCATCGCTGTAGCCTGTAAATCATTTTAATCTCTATGTCAACCTGTTTCCTGACATGGTTTCCCTCGGAGGGAGTGTGGGCTTGACAAAAGCCAAGGCGAGCACTCTGCCTGCCTGGAGCCATCTCCCTCTCCTCTCCCCTTCAGACCCTTTCTCTCCTTTTTGCCCCCAGACCAGGAGCTGAAGTTGTACGACTGGTGCTGTAACCAGGCGGGCAGTGCCCGCCTCTGCGCCCGCTACAGCGAGAAGAGGCCGAAGATTGGCTGTGATGGGTACCGGTCACCCGACACGGGTGGGTTTGCAGCCCCCGTAAGCTGGGGCGATGCTGTCTTGGTGCCCAGGGCTGTGGGGGAGAATGGCCAGCCACCCCATGTTTAAGGCTGCAATAGCCCCAGGGAGACGAGGGATGGGTTTTGGGGTGCCCACGTGCAGGTTGTCTGTGCCCTGGGCTGTCTGAGGTTGCAGGGGCATCTCCCTTAGCACATAGCCACCAGTGTAGTCTGGGGGTGACAAACCACCAGTGCAGTCTGGGGGTGAGAGCGCCGTGAGGGGAGGAGGACCACAGCTAATACAGTTATCAGTGGAAGCTGATGAGGGGATTTCTTGCAACCCCCCGCAGGTTCCTCGGAGGAGGCAGAGAGCATCTCAGAGGAGCAGAGAGGTGAGCGGGATTGGGGGTCTCCTCTCTGCCAGCCATTTCCCTCTGTCCCTGTCCCCTCGCGTGGAAACTCCCCCGGGGCTCCCAGCTCATCCCTTCTCCAGGAAGGAGGTGGCTGGGCAATTCCTGTTTCCTCTTCTTTGCAGATGGAGAGGACGAGTAACTGGGGGGTTGCACACCCGCAGCACGGTCTGGGCGATGGCTGATCCTCAAAGTCCTTTGCTCCTGCTCATCCCCTGTGCCCCCTCCTACCCCCAGCACCCACCACCCCCACTCACCATGTGGGGCAGCTCACTGGGGCAGTGCCTGCAGCTGCCTAACGGGGCAGCGGGCAGGTACCCCCCACCACCTACACCACCCTACATCCCGCTGTGCCTCCCACGCTGCGGGGTGAGGTTGGACCCCTGGCACCTGGGGGAAAGGTTTTTGCACCTCACGTGGGTTGACAGTGGCCAAGCCCACGAGTGCTGTGGTGTGCCAGGCTCGCCCCGTGTCTTGTCCTCCACTTCTGTCCCCTAGCCTTCCCTCTCCGGGTGGTCCCCAGGCCCTGTGTCCAGGAGAAGGGGCAATTCTCTGGATCAAGCCAGAGTCAGCTTGACATCTCTGCTATGTGTGCAAGGGCAAAATGCAACCCTGTGATCAGAAACGCTGGGAGAACAACATTTTTTTGTGTGTAAGAGAGCCTCTGCCTTCCTAAAAAAAAAATAAATCCTTGTCAAATCTTGTTCGTTCAATAAAGCCTTCAAGGGGTCTGAGCATCACCGATACTGTGGCATCCACATGCTCTGCTGAACTGGGGTGGGAAGTGGTGGTGGGGCAGGCTTGAAGCAGCAGGACTGCAGGATGCTTCTGCCCTGCGAGCTGGTGCTAGGGATGCGAGTGTCCGGGCTGAGGCTGAGCCAGGGTCTAGGGCAGTGTGGCTGGAGCTGGGGTCTGCCAGGGTCTGAAACACCTTCCCTGGGCACAGCATCTTCCCTCAGCAGGGGTGAAGAGCTGTGGGGTGTTCGTGGGGACCACAGCCCGACATCTGAGCCACTGTGAGCGGTGCCTGGGGAGAGCAGGGAGGGGAGACTCCACTTTGCGGGGAGAATGATGCGATGGAGTAACAAAAAAAGCTGCACCCATCTTCTCTTTGGTCCTGTGGATGGGACCAGCAGAAAGCAGGGATTCAATAGCTCAGTGATGGGGAAGCAGGGCTGGAGCATGGGCACCATGCAAGCAACTTACTCAGCAGCATGCCATCATTTTTGGTTTATTCTATTTTGTTCCTAACGGGTTATAATTACTGCATTGCCCCACCTGACTCTGCTGTCAGTGGCTCTGCTGGGTCCCATTACATTGCACTAGAGCATACCCCACTCAAGGACTACCCCGGTTGCCTCTGCAGATCCTTGGGGCAGGTGAAATTCTCCCGCTTTGGCCACGCAACACAAATCCACACTTTTCATTCAAATAAAGCACATCCTCCCACGAAGACCAGAC